CTTAGGTATTGTTCGCAATTTATCTATTTATGAATATTTAAAAAAACATATTTCTATCTGATATATCTAATTCTTTTAGTAATATTTCTAATCACAAAGCATAACTATATATTTTATTTTTTACCAAGATATAGAATTTATTTTAATATAATTATTATTGATTATAATAATATATAATTTTTATATCAGAATTTATCAAATTGATTTATCTGCTAATCATATTAATAAAATTCCATTTATTTATCTAATAAAAATCAGCTGATTTATTTTTATATAATCTTTGAAATTTATTTTGTTAAAGTTATTTCTAGTATAAGCTGTGATCTAATGATAATATATATTTCAATACGTCTATTAAAACTGATATATCTGTATTTTTTAATTATAAACTTATCTTTTAATATTTCTTATATATGTCTTCTACCTATTGACAAGCTTTTTATTCTAAGATATATAAGTTGATTACAAAAATAAAGATAGTTATTTCACATTTAGTATTTTTTCCTATCAACAAAATGAGACAAGTATCTTTTTTTATTATATATATAGTATTTTTTATTTTGAAATATATTAAATAGTTTTAAATCCTATTTTTTTACTCAGTTAAAATTTCATCATCCTTTTGTAATACAAACCAATATATTTAATATATTCTTCATAAGTACTATTAAAACTAGCAGAATGTTTGATTAATATAATAATATACTCAATTATAAGTAATTTAATGATTTTATTAGTTTATAGCAATTGTGTTAAATTTATTATAATAAAATATGAAATTCATTTTTATACAAATTTGTTTATTCTAAGCTAAAATATATATGTTTAAATATGACTACTTATTTTCTTTTTGATTTATTCTTTTTTTTTTTTTCCTTTACCTTTAGTATTCATTTTCAGGTAGATTACTTTTATTGGTACTACCTCTTCTCTTTTTTTCTTATCTTCAAATTCAGATTTATCACAAATCATATAATTATAAAGTATATTATTAGAATAAAAGAAAAGGTTTTTGATATCACTTATTAAATCAGATCCATTTAATTCTATATAAATACACAACTATATTCATCTACTATAATACAAACAAAACTAAAATCATCTATAAGTACTGAATGAGGATTTGTAAACTTGAATCTTTCAGATAAGTATTTAATAAGTTCTAATTCTCATACATATATTAATGAATTTTCACTTGTAATTTTATGAATTTCATGATGCTTAGTTCTCAATAAGTCAAGTAATTGATTTAGAATTTCTGGCAATTTTGACAAGGATCTATTACTGTCTTATATATAATGTGATTATGCAGATTCTGATTGGGATCTTGGATTTCATTTTTGCTAGAAAGGATCAAATGTTTGTCTCAAAGCAATTTCTAAACATAAAATTTGTTGAACTTAGAAGTACTTTCGCTTTCTGATCCTGAGGCAAAAGGTGATGATCTATCTCCTGCTAATATATGACTATCTGCTTTCTTCTGCTCAATTTAAAAATGTAATCAAAACTCTGAAAAATACCTTTAATTTAATAAAAAATATAAATTATAGGAATAATTAAAAAATATAACTATATTTGAAATAAAACAGATTTTTAAAAGGAATTCAAATGAATATAAAAAAACATTTAAATTTTACCTTGATTTTTTTCTGATAAATTATTAATTTTTATAATATGTTTAATTTGATAATATCATAATTCGTTTAGATTCTAAGATCAATATCCACTAAGCAATCTGTTTTAGATGTTTAATTAGAAATTTCTCATAATTAAATGATTTTTTAGAATCATTTTTTTCAATTTTAATTTCTCTAGGTTTATTGTATATATTTACACATAGAGTATCTCATACATTTGTAATTATATAATATACTCTATTCATTTCTATTATAATCAGTGCTAGTTGGCCATTGATTTTGTGAATTAGCATATTTTTAGTTCTAATATAAAATATTAAAAGATAATATTTAAGATGTCTATAATCTATATAAATAAATAAAATTCTGACACATACTTGTATAATAAAATAATAGAATAAATTTATCATAAATTTTCTGAGTTTTCTTGTTTACCTTCACCATTATTTCGATATGCTTCTAAATCTAAGATAAAGAATAAATATATTTAAAAAATTTTTATATAAAACAGAAAAAAAAACTAAAATTTACCTTTTTTTACATTCATAAATTACTTAAATAGGAAAGATGCATTAGGATTACTAAAGATAAAGCTTTCACTTTGCTTTAAAGAAGATTGATGATTTTAGGATATTGAATATAATGATATAATATCATTATAAGATTTCAAATATAATTTGATCATTTTTTTTAATTTGTAATGATATAATGATTAATAGGTGTAATAGATATTAATATGCTAACGATTATTTAAGAAGAAAAAAAGGGATCACGATTATATAAAAAAGAAAATTTTTTACATGACTTCACAAAAAAATCTTTTGATAATAGATACAACACATACACACTAGCTAAAGGATTATGTCATATTATAATCATTTAAAAGAGAAAAATAAATTGCAATTTTACAAAAAAAAACTTTTAAAAAAGTTTAAAAAAAAAAATCATATGGATAAGCAATTTTATTATATATTAAAAAAACTAAACGTACCTGTATAGTAGTTGAAGAAGAGGATATAGAAGGTAAAGATGTAAAAGTGAGACTGAAAAAGATGAGAACATAGTAGACAAGAAAGTAATAGATAAGGACGTTGCTATTGTGTTTTTCTTTTTGTCATTATCTTCTTTGCTATTTTTCTAATGTATTTTTAGATCTAAGGTGAAGAATATTAATAATAATAAGCTTTATTTATTTTCGCAGTAAATAGCTAAAAAAAAATACTATGTCTAGTATCTATATTAGTCTTAAATAAAGGTATAATATTAAAAATATTAAGTTTTTCAAAAGTAGATTTACTCATTGTGAAAAAAAAATTCAAAACTTTATTAATCACAGCAATTTATAATTTTATTGATATCCATGTTAACATATGTTAACATAATGTTTAAAGCTAAGAAAAATTCATATGACTGAAATATAATAACAATAGAAACGAGAGGTAGGAAAAAATATAAGTTTTTTGAGTCAATCTTATCAAAATTGATATAATTAGAGGGTATATACTTATATGGTCAAATTGAATTTTTTAAATTAGGAACATACACTGTAAAAGCCTTATTAGTAAAAATATAAAATAGCTACACACATTTATCTTAACTTCATACTCTTATACGTGTAAATAAATGCACTCTATGACCCTTTGAATGAAATTTGTAAAGCTAAAAATTAATGAAGTCAAATATAGATTTGCATAGTAGAAGTAATTTTCAAAAAAGTTATATATATTACCTTTGCAATTTGCATGGTAGAATATAAAAGCAAATGTAATAATTTTATGAATAAATAATGCATATATATTTAAAAATTTTAAAGTAAAATCTTTATTATATTTTTGTAAAGTATTATATAAAAAAGGGTCGACTAGCTAAGTAAAAATAAAAGTAAATAAGACAGTAGCAGGATGTTTTAAGAGATGAAAGATATAAAAGAACATGTCTGCTTATTAAATCTACTGAGCCCTAACCTATATAATGGTAATTCCTTTTCTACTACTTCACATTATTATTTAAACTATTGATTACTACTCATCTAATAATTAACATTACTGCGTTAAATTTTGAATTCTCTTTATCATAATAAAAGTTTTCTACAGTATTCTTCTCAATCTTTTCCCAGTAAGTTGAAAAATTTCATGTTTTACAATTTTAAATGCATAATCTATAATTTCCCTCTTTTTTTTTAAGTCAAAAACTTGCTTATAATGGTTTTTATTTTCTTCAAGAGATGGATTGAATGAACCAGATAATGTACTCATCTGATCAAATTTGACCTGAAGTTTTAAATACCTGCTTGTTTACTAATGATTCAACTTTTGCTTTGATACAATTTTAGCATAAAAAGAAAATGATAACTTAGAATAAATTATCGTATATGCTAATAGAATACTTAATTCATAATATTGGATTATTTCATTTTGGAGAGCTTTTATAGATTGATTTCAAATGAAATTCTGCAAAATTCATTATAGCAGGTTTCTTTGAAACTATTAATTCCTGTTGTCACATTATTACCATTGAAAAAATTTTCTGCACTTTAGAAGCATAATCAGCATCACATAAATTAATTTTTTTTGATTTCTGTAGTAAATTTACTATTAAGTTCATTAAATATATTATTAAATTCATTATTGATTGCTAAGCTTTACAGTAAAAGTAAAATTATATTCAGAAAGTTTATTAGTAATTTAAGTATTAATTTCTAAGGTAAGATTTCTGAAGGTATTTTAATTTCTGATGTATTATTTTGATCATTGACAATTTTGGTAACATGTATAGAGAGTTTATCAGAAATTTTCTGTTTAAGATTTAACTATATAGTAATGATTCCTACAAATATCGTTAAACTAACAAACAAAAATATAGCAGTTAAGGACAAAAAAGATATATTATCTGAAAAGTTAAATAATGTCAAACTGGATATTATTAAATAAGATAATGAATAATAAATTTTATTAAGAAATGTGTTTATTAATAAAGTCATTCTCAAAAAAAAAATAGCCATTTTTTTTCAGCAGGCAAAGTCAACGTATGTGTATAAAATAAATTTTTTTTTGGTTTTTTTTATTATTATTGTATGACGCATTAATTCAAAGAATGTTATTTATATTTTGTGCTAAAATGAAAAAAAATTCCAAACTTATTCATAAATTAATTTGTATGATATAATTCTAAAAAAAAAAAAATTTCCAAGTATGATATAATGAATATTTTAAAAATACAATGATTAAAGAATCCTGTGTAATCATTCAAGAAGGATGAAATTATTTTATGGTCAAAGAAGAAAGCTAAACATTAATTAAATTTATCAAAATTATATTGATATGATCGAGAAAAAAATTATCAAATGGTGGAAAGGGTCACTCTCTAGAGAGGAGAACATCTTGCCATACAAATACTTTTGGCAATCATACAACCGAAAGTAAAGGGGTCTTCAGCGGTTTCTAAAGAAGTAAACCGATTTTAACTTAATGAACGTTCGATAAAAGTATTCAAGTTAAGATTACTTACCAGTAATCATTAAAGCGGAGGCGAGACAAGAAAACCAAGTGAAATTACATGTGACTTGACAGGGTGTGGGACGGAGACGAATCATTTGAATAATGGGACCAACATGTCTTGGTTGAGGCATATGACCAGCGTCAACAATTGTTGGTTGTAAGACGAAAATCATCATAGAAATTAAGATGAAGGTGTAAGACAATTTTGCCATGATTTGCTTTTTGATTATGATTATGATTTGGATTTATTAAATTGAATTGTTTGGTAACGTATTTGTTGCGTTTATTCCTTTTTTTTTTTTTTTTTTTTTTAATGATATGTAGTAGTAAAAGGCTTAATTTTATTTTTTTTAAAAAAAAAAAAGAAAACAACTTACTTAAATAACCGTTTGTGGTTTTGTTCTCTGATAAGGAAATTCAATTGATATTCGAAATTGTTATTATGAACAAATTGAGCATTCATTCACGTAATGATTGGTTATTATTTGAAAAAAAAGGAAATCACAAATTCGTTTCGGAGTAGAAAGAAAATATCGATCTTCAATTCATTAATATTCATGCCTCAATAAAATAAAAATTTCAATATAATTGTCTAATTGATTACGGTTGAAGGTTCATTAACACAAAGAAAAATGTTATGTTATTGTCAATAAAGATATAAATATATCAAAAGTCATTGATAACGAATAAGGAAATAATGTCAAAATTGACGAATTTCAAAGCAGGATTTTAATCAAAGATTTTTATTTTCACGTTTTTTTCGTAAGTCGGTTTTTGCTGATTGGTTTTTTTATCGGCCGATGTTTCTTTACAAGGTAACAATTAAAAAAAGGGAAATTTGGTGCATTGATCAATTGTTTCAAATGCATACATAATATATTTGGAAATTGGATCATCAGGATTAACTAGCATTAAAACAGTGTTTAAAACAGTGTATGCAGGACTTTGGATAATGTTGAAGATAACAATAGTTCATTCATTCTCCTTACTATAGCTATCAAAAAGCAATCTTTATATAGTCAATAATTATATATGTATTCTCGAGCAAAGATCTTGAGCAACCGATTATAATAACAGAAAGAATTGTTGTTAATGGATAGATATTTCGTCGAATCCGGGATGTAGATGTAGAGGAACTCTTCCACCATAATTTAAACAAACAAACACTGGCATTAATTTCTATTAATACAAGGGTGTATGAACACGATATGAAATATAAGGAAGTTAATGTATTTTCCCCGTGTAAAGTTGAAATTTTCTTTGTTTTAATATACAATTAGTAATACTAAAATTCTAAATTATAGAACAATGTCGGCCTTTTAGTATTTCCTACTTCACTATAACGTTGAATAAACTAAGATGCTTGTATTATAAAACAATCAAGATAAATTTTCATATTTTCAAAACAAAAAAGTCAATCCAATCGATGATAAATATGTATCGCAAATTTAATATTGTAAACAGCCTATGGTACTTGTCTGGAAAGAAGAAATTGTTATACTGTACCATCGCGTCATTAATGATTTAAAATGATTTATGAAATTGATGTGTCACATATACGGGATGATTATCCATGCTTACATGATTTAATGACCGATTTTAAACGTTAACCGATTTTGGTAAAAAAAACATCTCGAAAATGCAATTAATTCATAAGAAACCTTATTTTACATTTGTGAGATGAAAAATCGACGGGAATTATACATTCATGCCCCAATATAGTATTTAACTATTATTCCATACGTTAAAGTATTAAGTTTTAGATGTAAGAATTACATTTATTTTATTAGTAACACAAGCACCGTGAAAATTTATTCAAAAAAAAAAATATATAATTTTATTACGCGCAATATTTTTTTTTAAATTATTATCTAATTTAATTAAGTGTTGCCCCGTAATTATCAGATTTTACATTTACAGAATTTCCAGATTGTATGTAATAAAATTATGATTCATCAGTTTTGAATTACAATGATGAATTTTGCTTTAACTTGTTCATGGAATATAAAAGACATCTTTGATTCAACCCTTTCTATATAGATGGATGGTAATTTTAAATAAAATTCAGAACAAAAAAAAAATCAAATAAAAATTCTTCAAAGCATACAATTATAAGCATAATTTCCAAGATCTAAGGTTAGATGGTGCACAATTCCTCTGCATAATTTTGTATAAAAGCAATGGCTGCTCCAAATACTCCAATAGAAACCAAAATATCAATATTTCCCTGTCGTTTGTCTTGAGCAAAAATTTCCTCCCGAAGGAATCGGGTAAAAAAGTTTCCACTATTACTGCCTGAGCCTCCAGAGTACCCTCTACTTGAAGTACTGGCAAGAATCTGAGCAGATTGTGTTTTTGGCATCTTGGAAAAGTGTCTTTTGCGTTTTCGTGAAAAAAAAAAAAAAAAAAATTGAAATCGGGTGGCTTATCTTAATTCTTGTGAACAAATCATCAATTGATGAGTATTATGTATTACATCAATTTATAACTATTCTATATATAGGAAACATGCATAAACAAATCGTGGACAAGTTCGATTGGTCCTCAATTTAGATATTCTCATACATTTTCTTATAAATATTAAGATTAAATCTTTTTTTCTAAAAAAAAAAGAAAAGAAAATATCAACGCAACCTTAATCCTCGGGCTTTTTTTTGGTTTAACTTTCTCCAATGGGTTGTATGTATAGATTTCATGAGTTCGTTATTATTGTTATTTCGACTAGTAGTTAAATGAATACTCACAAAGGTACAACTTCTTTAAAATAGTCCGATTTTTACATCTCATCAGGCCATTCATGGCCATACTTCCGGAGGTCACAGCACCAGAACGAAAGGTATTGATAGTTGAAGCCATTCAATCAATTGGGTTGTAATTTATTTGGAAAGGATTGAACTTTTAAGCGCGAAAAACGTTGACCACATTCATTATATTTATAGGTTCCCTTTCGTCACAAAATATTATGGACAGGTGTCACACTTATCATCTTTTTAGTGTGTTCGCAAATTCCACTTTATGGTATAATGTCCTCTGATTCCTCAGATCCTTTGTACTGGCTGCGTGTAATTCTCGCATCAAACAGAGGTACATTGATGGAACTCGGTATTACTCCCATTGTAACTTCGGGCATGATCATGCAACTTTTGGCCGGGGCTAACCTCATTGAGGTTGACTTTACTTTGAAAGAAGATAGAGCATTATTCAGTGGTGCTCAAAAACTTTTTGCCATGGTCTTCGCCTTTGGTCAGGCCACAGTGTCCGTAATGACAGGGTTGTACGGTAATCCCTCCGAAATTGGAGCCGGTGTTTGCTTATTGCTTATTATCCAACTTGTCGTTGCTGGTCTTATCTCTATGCTTTTGGATGAACTTTTGCAAAAGGGATATGGTCTTGGTTCTGGCATTTCACTTTTTATCGCTACAAATATTTGTGAATCCATCGTTTGGAAAGCTTTCAGTCCTACAACTGTTAATACTGGTCGTGGTCCTGAATTCGAAGGTGCAATCATTGCATTGTTCCATTTACTCTTTACCCGTAACGATAAAACACGTGCTTTGAAAGAGGCATTTTATCGAACAAATTTACCAAATGTCATGAATTTATTGGCTACCGTGGTTGTTTTCGCCATTGTGATTTATCTTCAAGGTTTCCGTGTTGAACTTCCTGTCAAATCAAGTCGTTACCGTGGTCAATTTGGAACTTATCCAATTAAACTCTTTTACACTTCAAATATGCCTATCATGCTTCAATCCGCTCTCACCTCCAACGTCTTCCTTATCTCTCAAATGTTATATAATCGATTCCCGGATAATTTACTTGTCAGATTCCTCGGTGTTTGGACTCCTCATGAAGGTTCAAATCAAAATTACGCGTCCGGAGGTCTCGCGTACTTTATGTCACCACCACATAGTATCACGGATGCTCTTTTAGATCCTATTCACACATCGTTATATATTTTATTCATGTTAACCGCATGTGCTCTCTTCTCAAAGACTTGGATCGAAGTTTCAGGATCTTCACCACGTGATGTTGCAAAACAACTTAAAGATCAGAATATGGTTATGGCCGGACATCGTGAAGCGTCAATGTACAAAGAATTGAAACGAGTTATTCCTACAGCCGCAGCTTTTGGTGGTGCTTGTATTGGTGCTTTGTCTGTTCTTGCTGATTTGCTTGGTAAATATTATGTACACGGTTTTTTTTTTTTTTTTTTGTGTAAAAAAAAGTAATAATAAAATTTTTTCATTTAAAGGTGCGCTTGGATCCGGTACTGGTATACTGTTAGCCGTCACTATTATATACTCCTATTTTGAAATGTTCGTTAAAGAACAGGCAGCTGAAGGTGGTCTTGATGCATTATTGTTTTGATAAAAAAAAAAAAATTATTTCTAACATCCAACTTTAGAATAAGTTAGCATATACTTTTATAATTATCCTTTTATTTTTTTTTTTTTTTTTGTAATGTTTTTTTTTTATTTTAAAAAAAAAAAAAAAAAAAAAATTATATTAATCATTAAAAAACTATTTGATATATAAAGCTGTTTTTGATCAAGTGTTAGGAAAAAAAAAAAAGACATTTATAGAACTTTGCAACAAACAATACAATTATTATATACACAAAGACATTTTCAAAAAAAAAAAAAAAAAAAAAAAGAGTGGAGCGGTCATTTATAAAAAAAGATTAGATAATCTTTTTCTTTAATATCTTATATATTCAATACAAATAATAAAATCAATTTAAACAATAATAATACACAATTTTTCGACAATTTATTTATTTTTAATTATAAAGTTTTTTTTTTTTTAAAAAAAAAAAAAAAACCAAAAAATTTATTTAAAAATAAAAAATTCTAAAGTAACGATCAAATGAAAATGAAAATTAAACTAAAAAAAGGAAACCTAATCTAAACTATTACAAATTAATCGTCACTAAGTAACCAAGATTTTTTCTTCATCTCTTTTTTCTCTTTCTTTTTTTGTTTAAACATCTCAATATCTTTTTTATTCAATTTCTTGTGGCTTCTTATAGAATCGTCTAATGAAGCATCTGATGAAAGTCTTTTATTAGCAGCAGAACCTCTAGATTCAGCAAATTGATCATAATCAAAGAAATAAGACATTTGTCTAATTGCTTTTGCATCAGCAGAAAATTTTTCAGGATTTAAAGTTGGATCACGTTGAAACTTTCCGGTTCTTGCATTGAATCTTGCGGTAAATTTATAGTCCGCGCCATCACTTCCATGTTCCGCTAAAAATGACTGATAATCGGAATCATTTGTCGTCGATTGATATTGATCATATTTATCTAAATTTGTAGAAGAAGGAGCTTGTTCTTGATCATTAGAATTATAAGGAGATTCAGAAGTAGGTGATGATTTCGATTTTGAAGGTTTTCTATCAAGTTTAGATTTAACTTCTTTGTCAATCTTATCGAGAAGGGTATCCAAAGGATTTATAGGCGGTTCCGTAGATGCCACGGCAGTGTTTGCCATACCTGAAGAAGCGGTTAAGGTAGAACCATCATAACCATAATAATACGCTTCAGGATAATAACCATATTGAGAGTAATATTGATAATAATCTTGTTCGGAGTATTCAGCATATTCAGAATTACTAGGTTGGGCTGTTAAATCGTTATTATTACTGATATTACTTGGAGTTTCCCAAGTGGTTTCATTGGTGATGGTGTTCCAATAATAGTATGCTTGCGCGTTATCATCCCAAACTGCACTCCATCCTGATAATGTAGCCTGATCTCCATTTTCTTCTGAAACTTTCTCGGTTTCTATCGCATTCACATTTAAGTTGGTTGAATCTACTTTGTTCAACTCCTCTTGATTCAATTCCTTTAAGGCTGGATCACTTTCAACGTTATTTTGTTGCTCATCAGCGATTTCTTCATGCTGTTCTTTTTCTTCTTCAGTTAATAACGTTTCAACGTCTTTATCCTTTGGTTTCTCTTCACTTGAATTGTTTGCCACCTCTTGATCAACTTTCGTAGTAGTGATGTCGTTAGTTTTTTCAGTGGTTTCTTCAGTACACAATCCCACTTGAGATTCTGAAAGGCCTAAATTAGTATCTTGTGTAGAAGACATTTCTACTTTAAAAAATTGGCTTACTTGCGAAAGCAAAAGATACGAGAATTCGTCACGTTACTACGAGCAGTTAATGCAAGTTCTAATGTTCGGGGAATCCTAACAAGAAAAATAATCGATATGTAGAATTTAATGGAAATTATGTTGATTCAATTTCACCGTCGATCGTCGTGGTGTAACCTATTAGACTTTATTTGGAGAAAATATACTGCATGGATGTAATCATCTCCGATATCGGATTGTCTTCTCACTCCATAAGTAAACAAACCAGAAACTAGAGCTAAACGAAAAAAAAAAAAAAAAAAAAAAAACTTTATAATTATCCATTTTTTTTTTCACACAAAAAAAAAAAGCGCGCCATTATGATAACCAATACAATAACAAATGTGGAAACATTATCAGCAAAGCAAACTAACAATACGTCAAAGTCAAACAGCTCAACTACAAACACGAGTTTAAATTTAGCAAAAATTATTGCCCAAGGTAATTTTTTTTTTTTTTTTTTTTTTTTTTGGCTGTGTTATTTGTTAGGGTGAGTGGCTCATCTCTTTCCTAACCGGTACATTCTTAATATATATATATATATATATAAACCAGAAACCAAGAAAGATCTTAAAAGGAAGGCAGCAATTCAAGCGACAACTGGTATTCATTTTTTTTTTTTTTAAAAAAAAAAATATTTAATAATTATTGTCTTCTGACTTCTATTTTCTCGACCCTTTTTGTTGTACTCCTTTTTGGTTAAATAATAACAATAAGACTGGTAAGGTTAAATTTCTATTATGTAAACCTTACAAAATAAGATGATTCTAATTATCTTAATAATCGAAAAATTCAAAATTTTTTTCTCGTTCTTGTAAAACTCGGCTTTTGCGGGGTTAACGTTATCGTTATTATAGGAATAGTTTGTTAATATGGGCAAGAAAACAGCGTGGTCCATATTATGATCCGACTACGCGCATGTACCATGTTAGTCATAATACGAAAAGATATTTTGCAGGTTATACCGAACAGGATGCTGAAGCGTGAGTTAGAAGTATTTTTCTCTTTTCCTTTTCTGTCGTACAAAGACGATTTAATCTAAACAAAGCTCGGCCAATAAAATTACCTATTTTACGATGATGCAATCACGTTTTATCCGCAGTGAAGACGCTACGACAGTTAGTCAGCATAGTCAGCACAAAGTAAACAGTAATAATCAGTTTAAACCTATTGCTTCGATACACAATAGTGAAATTATCACTAAAGATATTATACAACTCGGAAATCACATGTCTAATCGAGTTCCACCGAACGCTGGACGTCGTCCTGGTCGGCCAAGGTATAAAAAATAATGTAAAACAAAATTTTTTTTCGGATTCGTTGGTTTCTCTTCAAATTTTGCTTAATTAATCTCTGCATTTATTCAATTAGGAAATCCGATCTTTTCCAAACGTAGTATTTCAAAGACAGCTGACTGGTTTCAGTTCTTGTTTTAAACTTGTTTTAAAATTCGAAGATAGACTTATTTATATTAAATAATTTCAATGTTATTATAATTATATCAGATTTTTTTAACAGTGAGGCGAATGGGTTTGGTTTTTTTCTCACAATTATAGAGGTAAAAATCTTAGATTAATAGATACTGTGTTGGTGATAAATATTTATAATATAATGTCTTTTTTTTTAAAAAAAAAAAAAAAAGAAAAATATTTTTTTTTTTTTTTTTCAAATTTCAATTATTTTGTAGTTAAAATAATATAATAAAAGACCCATAAAAATATATATTATTATTTTTAAACTATTTGATTATTTACAAATTTTTATTAAAATTATTAAAATACAAACACAAATAAATAAATAACGAAAATTTGTCCGAATCGTTCTAATTATAGAATTATTGTATAGAACTTTAACCTATCACATTTGGTTAAAATGAAAAAAAAAAAAAACCAGGAGTAAGATTGATTTACTTTAAATGGTTAATTTTTTGCAATTCCCGGAATGAAGAAGAAATTACGGCATTATATTCATGTGGTGACGGTTTTTGAAACCATAGAATTGGAAGGGTAACCGATACTAAGGTAAATCTTATCAAGTTATAGCAAAATTAAATTTATGGTGCGATATCATTTTTTAACAATTTATTACAACAAAAAAAATATTTTTATTTTTTGATCATTTGATCTTTTTTTATTTCGCCAGTATTTTACGAGTTAGAAAACTTGTAATAAATTGAAATTAAATGAACTAAATGAGGACAATGGGCGATGAAAAAAAAAAGTTTCCCGCCTTTTAATAATATATATCTTTATCTATTATACCACCACAACACATTTACAAATAGGGGGTGTGAGGTTTTAGAAAATCAAAGAGGAATGTCTGTCGCACGTTCCTCATTGATAAGCAAGATTCTTCTAAATATTTGTTTCATTTTATCCGATTTAAAATTACCGAAAATCTTCTTTATTTTTTGTCTCTCACTCTCTCTTTCAAATTATTTTTTACCCCCTGTTCTTGTACATCACGAAAATTTGAATCCTATAAACCAACAAAAAAATTTCTTTTTAATCCTTTCGAAAGTTATATTTTTAATTTTTCTCGCATCAACCTATATATAGAAATTAAGAAACTCATGCAGTTCCACATCCATTTCCATTGATTTCAATTAATTATAAACAACGATAAAAAAAAAAATTAAAAATAAATTTCTTTTTTTTTTCCTATTATTATGAATAAAGACAAAGTAGAACGAACCACTTTCCCTTTATAAATAAAAAAAGCCATACTACTAGATAACCTTAACCGATAGATAAAAGAAAAAAAAAAAAACCTAAATTAAAAAAATTAGTAAAAAAAAGTCTTAAACCTTTTTTTTTTTTTTTTATTAGAATTCAATTAAAAAAAAAAAAATTATATATTCATAATATGGCTCCAGCTCTATTTTCCTCAACACATTGCTTATCACCATACGGTGGTGCCTTACATGAAAAAACTGCAAACTTATCGTCGACGCAACTTCCCGTTCAACAACAAAAAATGTTTAACCGTTCGACTTCAAAATTTACAACTCTGAATTTTAAATCCGAAGAAAACATTTTATTAAAAGATACCCCCAGTAAACCTCTTGTGACAGCATCTGAAAACAAATATATGATAAAACCATCATCAAAAACACCACCTTCAAATTACAGTAACTTTCGTCAACGTTCTATTAATTGGACAAAAAATAATATAATAACTCCCGCCTTAAACTCTGCCCCATTAAGAAAAACTTTTTCTTCACAAAATATTAAACAGACAAATACTTTTGAGGAAATATTGAGTACTACACATAGAACTGAGAGAGAAGTTAAGGCATCATTGGCTAAATTGAGACGAATGATTCTTGATGATGGATTACCCGATGAGGTATTATTTTTTTTTTTTTTTTTTATATTATGTAAAATAAAGATAAATGCGCCTGACAATGTGCTATATATGCGCGTAAAGGAACATCATTAAATACACCAATTATTTTACTGATGATGTTTGTAAATTTTCTCGGGTAGAACCTACCAAAATTGGATCCTTCGGTTCAAAATCTAATAAGACCCACATCTCTTCGTTCAAGGATATGGAAACACTTTCTTGGAGTCTATCACGTATCTGCTAATGAATATGTTGGCCTTATAAAAAAGAAGGAATCTTGTGTGTATGATAAAATCCGTAATGATACTTTCAGGACATTAGCCACTGATGAGAAATTTTTAAAGAGAGTTAATGAAGACATGTTGATTCGCGTTTTAAATGCTCTTGTATGGAAGAATGCGTGCTTTTCAACGTATGGCAATCAACAGATCACCTACGTTCAAGGAATGAATGTTCTTGCTGCGCCATTCTTATTTACCATGTCAGAAATCGATGCGTTCTTCTCTTTTGCAACATTTATTCAGACTTGCTGCCCTTTATATGTAACTCCTACTTTACAAGGAGTTCATTGTGGATTAAAGGTAAGATTTTCTTTATTCTCTTTTTACTATAGAAATAGAAGGTTAACCAATTTTTTTTTTTTTATATATATATGTATATATTATAGCTTTTGGATCAATGTCTCCAAATTCTCGATCCTAAATTATTTAATCATTTGAAATCCAAGAACCTTACTGCGGAAATATATGCATTATCATGTTAGTGACGATCTCTCTCTCAATTCACACACGTATTTTAGATGAACTAATCATCTTTTTTTTTTGATATGTATTAGCTGTGCTTACACTTTGCGCCTGTACTCCACCTCTCGAGCAAGTATTAAAATTATGGGATTTCTTGCTTGCTTATGGAATTCATTTGAATATTTTATGCGTTATTGCACAGCTTATTTTGATGAGGGAACAATTATTGGAAGCAAAAAGGTATAATTTATTATTAATTTTTTGTAAAGTTTTATTTCGATTAATATTTTATACATCATTTATGTTGTTCTGTTCTTATTTTAGTCCGATGAAACTTTTGAGAACTATGCCAGAGTTAGATGCCAAACCCGTTATAAATTTGACTGTACGACTTGTTCAGCAGATTCCTGATAAATTATACGATTTGCTTGTTAGACATCCATATGATCCTTCCGTTGAAAGTGCTCTTTGAAAAAGAAACAAATTCATTATAATTTTATATAAAAAAAAAAAAAAAAAAAAAAATATTCGATAAATTTTTTTTTCGTTTTAGTTTTGCAATTTTCTTCTGGAATGTATGATTTTTTTTAAAAAAAGTTATTCCAAAAAAAATTTGAAAATTTTTTTTCACTTGATTTTTGTATATTATTTCTGTAGATACTTATAGATGTGAATATCTTTTTTTTTTTTTTTTTGATATAAAGAAAATTTACCAGAAGAAAAAATTTTAGAAAAGCTTTTTTATATTTGTATTTTTAGTTTTATTTATTTATTTATTTATTTTTTTTGTAATCGATCGAAAACTTGACAAATGACTCAAATAGAGACAAAATAAATTTTAATTTATATTTATTATGTTCAAATAAAGAAAATGTTAAATATTACATTATGTTGAAATGATAAAAAATAAAAAATTATAATATATAATAAATAAAAAAATATTACAGAAAAAGGGGTGGTCGAAATTAATTTTAAGACATCTTATGTTTTTTTTTCCTTTGAAAGTTTGATTTACAAATAAAAAAAAAAATCGTCCTTGTCCTATTTAAAATTGTTATAAATATAAATGATTTAATAGGAAAAATAAAAATAAAAAGGTTTCTGTCGTAATGGTAAATTTATGAACCAATTGAATTACTTTGCAAAAAAGCAGGCCTTGTAAATAAGGGCTTGGATAATTACTTCCAGATATCATCATTCCAAATATTCTTCTCCAAAGACTTTATTGACGTGCTAAAATTTGCACGATTTGTACGAAGAGGGTCATCATTTTCATCTTCGTCTGATCCAGATTCTTCATGTGCAGTAATTCCTTTAATTTGTATTGGAGTAGTATTATAAGAAGTTGGAATTTGTATAAATGGATCTCTCATTGATGCAGATGCATATGGTTGCGTTATTAAAGGTTTTGTTGACGATACGGGAAGAGATGTTCCTATCCTATTAGCATAACTCTCATACCGCTTTCCATGTCCATCAGGAACTTCTTTAACGAGATCAACACATCCTTCTCTGAATGGTGGAAGATCACTTAATTGTCGTTCTTTTCTATCAGATTTTATACCTAATCCACTTTCAACATCCTCCTCTGATTTATCTTCTGCATCAAAAATATCTTGAGCCCTACCTTTTCCCTTTCGCTTCCTTTTAGACATGGTACGTTTTCTTTTTGGTTTTACTGGTCGATTAGAATAGTCATTCGAATATATTACTGGGAAATTGTAGTCTCCATATTTTCCTAATTTCCTGCTATGATCATACATTGCCTCAATCTCATCATCCGTATCTGGATCAGGAAAATTTAGACTCCTTTTATCATCATCGCTCTGTTCTGATAACAGTGTCGTTCGTTGATTAGGTCCAGGAAGCCAATATTTTCCAGCACCACCACCAGTAAATCTTAGACCGGCCATAATCCTTGCAGTGCGGCTAGGTCCAATATGAGCCATGCCTTCAGCAGGTTCAAAAGTTCGATAAGTAAATCGTGAACCTCGAATTGTTTGTAAAGTGTCTTCAATTACATCTCTAAAGCCCATACAATCTTTGAATGCATATTTAATTGGCATACGACCTGATCGAACGCTTGAATCAATATAATCTTTATAAGAAAATGCGTAGTAATGTGCAAAAGATGCAAACAACATTTCAATTGTTATTAAGAAATCCTGAATGGATACCGAGAAACTCTCAGCAGTTCCATTGTCAGCTAAAAATTATATAAAAAAAAATGTGATATTTAACAATGAATAGCTGTTTATTCCAAACTTCCAAAAAAATTATAACCTACTATCATGAATAATTCCTAAAGATACCAGTATTGAAAGTGTGAATCCTTGCCAAAACGAAAAGAAAATAACTGCTTTCACGCACAGAAATTTTGGCATAGGTCTATAATACATACATAATAATGATGATGATGATGATGATGACAAATAATAAATAACACGTAAGTTAAATATATAACATAAATATTAATTAGCTTACCGATATGGCATCAAGTCATCCTTTGTACAAACATAGAAAATAACTAAACAATAAAAACATAACGAGCAGCTAACATTATATATCAAATTAATCCATATATATCCATTTTTAAATTCGATATGACCTTCTTCGTAAGTGTCAGCCCACTTTAATATCATTGTAAGGACTGTCAGGATCGGTTTCAAATAAACGTATTGAAGAATCCCACGCTTAACAAACAAAAAAGCGTAAGGATCTCCAATATCCATATCCTTTACGAATATATTGATTGGGAAAAGATGAGGCGTTGGAGGGCGACCATGTAATAAGATCAACAACGATCTTTCCCCATCCAAGTAATTCACGAGTAAGTTGAAAAAACAATATATTACAAATGCCTGAACAAATCAATTAAGATTAAAGTTGAGTGAATTTCTGTTTTTGAAATTATAAATAACTTTATTAATTACCTCATATATATCTCTTATACCGTCAACGTATAGTGCTGCATTAGTTGATGCCAAACTTATATACGATGATATTGAGTAAATCGGCACCCTTCATAAGAACTATAAATCAATTTACAAATATATGACATAGAAAAACATATTGAAGAACGAACCTAATAACCTACATTATAATTATTCTCACTACATATCTTTGTAGGGACTATTAAAATATTAAGAAGTAAAGTAAGTAAAAGAAAAAGTTCAAAATAGGTAATCGTTTTTCGCCCACTTCACCTAAAGCTCCAAAGATTGAGAACTTATAAAATTTTTTGATAAAATTATATTTATACTTAATTGATTAAAAAGAACGTACCGGTTTTCTATAATGTTTGAAGTGAGACCAAACCGAGAATATTGATAAAGCTGTGGCTAAAAAAGCAAGAATTGCAGCTGCTGCTCGTATCGAAGCGGGGTTATGGAATTTTTCTGAAGACCCGCCGCCACCTCCAGCATCAGAAGTATCATCTTCTAGCAGCAAAGAGTTTAATATCTCTGTGATCGAAAGTTTTAGCATATTAATATAATCCCAGTCATTACGCACCTTTTTGGTAAAAAAAAAGGAAAGGTAAGTGGTTTATATAAAATGTTTATTTATAATCTGCACACGTGATAAAAGATCATTTCTTCTAATTGGTTAAAAATGTTAATAAATAATATCCAGAATTATGCTATGCAAAATACCAAATTATGCATATAATAAAATAAATTATGCTACATTATGCATTTATAAATTATCCAAAATTATTAAATTAATTTAAAGGATTTATTAATACACTAAAATTGTAAAAACTTTATTTATAAAACCAATCTATTATATTCTATTAATGTTTACTATTAAATAAAATAAAATTTAATATAAAGATAAATTTTTAAATAATTTAAATAATTGGTATTTTCTATTATTTAAAATATTTTTTAAATGTAAAAATTACTTTAATATTTACAACTGAATCTGAAAGCCAAATATATATTAATATTATATTAGTTATTATAATCAATATAGTTCAAATCAACTAAAAATCTGATGGTTAAATTTAGGTGAATTTTAAAACTATTTATAGCTAAATTGTATATTGATTCCAATTAAACAAAATAATTCAGTATCAATTTAAAATATTGTTATACAACAAACTTTACTAACTGAAAAACAAACTTTAACATATATAGCAAA